AAATGAGGACCTAATGCCGGGGGCTTAAGTGGAGAGGAAATGTTTTGAGAATGATGAGGGCAATGAATATACAAATGTGCTTTACACAATTGATGTATGTGTGGATTGTGATGAGTTGTATGAGCCCCTAATAAAAACCATTAAAAAAGAAAAGACCATAGCTTTGGTCAGGTTCATCTTAGTCTTCAAGAGATATTGTAACTCTTACACTTGGGAGAGGTCTTTTGCAGCTGATTTGCTGCAAAATACATAATTTGATTTCTTTCTTTTTTTAGACAGTTTTATTGGAAGTTCATCCACATGCCATACAATTCAATAATTCAATCATATCAAGAAATGTAAAATTATCACCACAATCAATCCAAGAACATTTTCTTCTTCCTTGTGCTCATTATTATTCATGTAATTATTATTTTTTATATTGATAAAAATATACACAACAAAACATTCTCTAATTCAACAACTTCTACATGTATAATTCAGTGCCATTGATTATATTCTTCATGTTGTTAACAACCACTATTGATATCCTTTTCCAAATTATTCCACCACCATTAACATAAACTCACTGTCATTTTATTTCTTGACTGCTGACTCCGTGGGCATTGACTGTGGAGTCAAATAAAATGAAATCCTCGACAACTACATTATCTTGCCCACCCTTTATCATGATGTTGCTAATTAGTCCAGTTGTGAAAATTTTTGTTTTCTTTATGCTATGGTCTAACCCATACCGAAGGCTGTCATCTCTGATTTTTAACACTAAGTGCTTCAAGTCCTCTTCCTTGGCTTTCCTTAAGCACAATCCTGCTATTCTGTGTTTTACAGGTTGTTAATGAGCTTTCCTCCAATTCTGATACTGTGTTCTTTTCCGTTTAGTCCAGCTTCTAGAAGCATTTGCTCTGCATAGAGATTGAATAAGTCTGGTGAAGGGATCCAATCTGGATGCACGTCTTTGCTGATTTTATGCCTTTGCTGCTTGAACAACTCCCTTTGGGGTGTAGGTGCAGGTTTTCACAGGAGCACCATGAAGTGCTCGGCACCTCCCATGCTTCCCAACACGCATTCACCGCGTGTGATGCTCCGCACAGTTGAAAAGCTTTGCATAGTCAATAAACAAAGTAAGTCTCTTTCTGATAGTCTCTGCTTTCAAACAAGATCCATCTGAAGTTGAAGTTCAGCAATGATAGCCTTTGTCCTATATCCTCTTCTGAATCTGCCTTGAATTTCTGGAAGCCCCTTGTCAATGTGCTGCTACACCCATTGTTGAATATCTTCAGCAAAAATTTATTTGCATGTGATATTAATAATGTTGACAATTTCTACATTCCGTTGGTCACCTATCTTTGAAATGGGTACACATATGGATCTTTTCCAGTTGGTTGGTCAGGTGACTGTCTTCCTAATTTCTTGGGATAGATGAGTGAGTGCTTCCAGTGCTTCAGCTTGTTGAAACATTTCCATTGGCATTCCATGAATTCTTAGACCCTTATTTTTCACCAAAAGAGCTCTAGTGGTGCTGTCAGGTAAGTGTTGGATTCCTAATCACAATGTCAGTGGTTCAAAACCACCAGCTGCTCCTTGATAGAAAGATGAGGTTATTTTGTTCTGGTGAAGATTGATAGACTTGGAAACTACATAGAGTCGCTATTAGTTGAAGCTAACTTGATGGCAGAGGGTTTACTCTTTTCAACAACGTCTCAGTACAACTTGGACTTCTTCAATACCATTGATTCTTGATCGCAGGCTACATTCAGAAATGGTTCAACATCAACCAGTTATTTTGATACAGTGATTCTGTATATTCCTTCCATCTCCTTTTGATGCTTCCAGGATCTTTCAATATAGTTCCCACAGAATCCTTATATAGTATCAGAAATGAGCGCCTTTAGGTTACAAGGCACTCACAATGTAAGTCGGGAAGAGCTGCCTCCTCACAGCAGAGGAGATCTTAGCCATGCGATGGAGTAAAGTTTCTGGGACCTTCATTTGCTGATGTGGCACAACTCCAATGAGAAGAAACAATGGAAAACAGGCACCAGCAGGCCGTGAAGAAGGTAGCCTCACTATGTTGTGGAGACGGCCAGAGGAGGAGCTGGGGGAACATCCTGACAAAATTTGAGGGTTGTTTGGAAGCAGATATGAATTTGTGACATTGGGCAAGTCAGTTAACTTCTCTGAACCTCAGTTTCTTTTTTTGCAAATGGAGACACTACTGACATTCATGCCATGGGGTATTTTTGAGGATGAAGTAAAATAATCCATGGGAAACATTGAGCAGGGAGCCTGTCCATGGGCCACAAGCACTCAATAAATATTAGCTATTAGTTGTCATTATTATTTCATCATTGTTATTATCAGCAAGAGGAAGTTCTTATATGCTAGAGGTGGGGTGTGAATGCGATATAACTTTCTTGAATATTTTTAGACTAACAGAAAATGTTTAAACACGTAAAACCTTTGTTCTATGAATAGCACACGTGGGAATTCATCTTTAACAAGTCTAGTGAAATACCCGACTTATCTACAAACAGGTGTGAACAAGAGTGTTTATCTCAAGGTTATTTAGAATAAAGAAAGCTTGGAAGCAACCTAAAGGTCCAGCAGCAGTTATGTAAAGTATGAAACAGGATAGGATATACCTCTATACACTTGCACATGTTGTCAGGAGAGACCAGTGTCAGGAGAAAGACTTCGTGGTTGGTAAAGCGGAGGGGTGGCGAAAATGCGGAAGGCCTTCAACGAGACGGCGCGGGAGCAGAAAGAGTTTTGTTCTATCGCGCACAGGGTCACTATGGGTCAGAATCAAATCCATGGCACCTAACAGCAACATTCCTCTACACCATGATATTAACATGGGTCTAGAGACTCCTTAAAGGAAATTTCTGAACGCTCCTAGTCTAGTGCTTGGCACGAGGTGCTTCTCGGCACCCAGCTCCTCTGCCTTCAAGTGCACGGGCTGCCGCTTCTCTAGTCCGGCTCTCCAGACCCTGCCAGTGCTCTGCACCATGACACATTCCTGTCTCCACCACAGCCCTTCCCTCCACCCCTCTATTCTCTCATTCCTGCACGCCAGCGCTCCACGTTCTCTGCCTCCCCCAGACTTCCTGCTTTTCCACATCTGCAAATCCAACAGGTCCTTCCCTGTGGGACCTTTAATGCCAGCTCCTTCCCAGAGATGCCGCAGACCCCCAGCCAGACCCCTCCCTCCTTCCAGGTCATAGATCTGCCTCTCTGCAGGTACACGGCTTTTCTCTGCTGAGGCTGGGAGGTCTTCGGGGAGGGCTGTCTCCTTCATCGTGGCCACCTCACACGCACAGCAGGTGCTCCTTGTGCTGTGGTTGGTGAGGGAGTACAGGATGAGGGATGGGAGTGTGAACAGAGGACAGCCCTGCAAACCGTGCACAGTCCCTTGCTGGGGTTGGCAGTGGGCTGGTAGCCAGCACCTCCCCTGGTGAACGACCTCCAGGTCCTGAGGTCTCCAGGCCCTGCCCATGTCATAAACCAGGGGTGCTTCCTCTTCAGGGGCGGGGGAGCGAAGTGGGGTGACTCAGGGGCTGAGCCTTCGCAGCGGGGAATGTTTATAAGTGGGGCAGCAGCAGGGCTGGATCACATATCCTCCTCTGCACGCTCTTCTGCAGCTCCCCTCTCCAGCAGCATGGCCTTCAACGGCAAGTTCGAGATCGAGAGTGAGAAGAATTACGATGAGTTCATGAAGCGCCTCGGTGAGTGGGCTACTGAGACGCCTTCCCCAGGGCTGCCTCACCCCAGCCAGCTCTGGGGCAGGAGGGGGGGTGCCTCGAGCGGGACAGGCCTTCATTCATCATACATTGGTTCACCATGCCACTCACACGTACTACTCCATGTCAGGCTCCGGGGACAATAGGAATGTGTCGTTACTGCCTTCAGCAAGCTGACAGCAGATTATTAACTCCATTTTACGGATGGAAAACTTGAGGCCCTGAGAAGTCGAGCTCTCATCTGAGGTCACACAGTTAGTAGGTGGAGAAACTGAGGCTTGATTCGCTAACTCATCCCGACATGAACTGAGTGCCTGCTATATGCAAGGGCTAGCTGAGTGTGAAGGAGCCCAGGGCAGCAGTGGGTAAGTAAGTGTTCAACTACGAACCTGGGAGTGTGAACGCTCTGCCCTTTCTGAAGAGTAGTAGAGTAATAGATAGAAAATGTTTAAATGCATAAATCCTTTGTTCTAGGAGTATCACATGTGGGAATTCATCCTTAGCAAATAAGCCTAGTGAAGTACCGGCCGTGTCTACTAAGAGGTGTGGACAAGAGTGTTGATCTCCAGGTTACTTAGAATAAACGAAGCTTGGAGATGATCTGAATATCCAGCAGCAGGTTCAAAGTCACCAGCGGCTTCCCAGGAGGACGCTGTGACGGTTTGAGTTTGTAAAGCTTGCAGCCTGGAAACCCTGTGAGGTAGCCCCACTCTGTCTTACAGAATCGTTGTAAGTTTGAATCTACTCATTGGCAAAAGGCTGGGTTTTCAAAAAAATTTTTATCCCATGTTACTCATGAATACTTACCTGAGGTCATCTACAAAGTCAGTGACAGATGTCACATTAACACCCAAGACACTATGACGACTGGTGTCGGTTCACACCCTGTCTGGCTGGGCGGGGGCAGGCTGAGAGCTACCGTGGATTCCAGCTTTGACATGCCATTCACTCACTCAGCCATGCACCAAACAGGCCTTTGGCTGTGCTGAATGGGGAGTGGTAGCTGGGGTGTGGGTGTGTGGGGGAGGGGGATCAAAGATCCCCTCCCTCCTATCCCCTCTCAACTCCCACCAGTGGAGGTGAGGAACCAGTGAGGGAGCAGTTCGACTATCCCGCAGGAACCTCAGTTCACGAAGTCCAAGGTCCTTATGATTGAGGTTGTCATGACAGCCCAGGAGACATGTGCCCACCTTTGGAGGTCATGTCTTGCTTGCTAACCCGGTCAGGCAGGGCCAGAGACGCCAGACAGCTGGGGCTCTGGGAGGTGAGGGCTCTTTGGAGGCCATTACCAGGAGCCACCCCTAGGGGCACAGGGACTTGGCATTGTTCACAAGAGTCTGGTGTTGTAAAACTCAATCGGAGACCTGGCGCTTCTGTAAATCTGCTCAGAGACTAAAGAAGCCCTATCGGCCCCGGGGCCTGTTTCCTTATCTACAAAGTAAAAGCATTGGAAGACACAGTCTCGAAGTCCCTTCATTCTAGAACTTGGTGGGTATGGCAAGTACCCGTTATATTTCGGCTTTATTCACATCATAAATTGCATCTGAAGAGCCCCAACCAAACTGTGGCGGCGGGGCAAATCCCGCCGAAGGCAAACAACGGGTAACGAAACAAAACGAACCCCAAAAGGGTTGCCTGGGTGTTCACGGAAGCCGACTGGCAGGTCTTTCTTCTGCAGAGCTGTTGGGTGGGTTTGAACCACCAACGTTTCAGTTAGTCGTTGGGCACACAGCACCAGGTGTGCCATTACTGGGTACCAACTCGGTGGGACCAAGGGTGTGCAAGTCACCGTCACTTTTGATGCCGTTCTTGCCACCCTGTGAGATGGCCTTTATTATCCCCCATACGCTCAATGAATGCGAGGACTGGGGCTGGGCGAGCTTGCTCTTACACTTCCAGGTCAGCCTACAGCCGGGGAGGAAAGCTTTCTCCAAGCACAGCCTTGTAAGCAGCTCTTACGTGACATTCTGCTTGTCCCCCTGCCCAGGGCTCCCCAGTGACGCGATAGAAAAGGGCCGAAACTTCAAGATCGTCACAGAGGTGCAGCAGAATGGGCAGGACTTCATCTGGTCCCAGCACTACCCCGGGGGCCACTCCATGACCAACAAGTTCACCATCGGCAAGGAGTGTGACATGGTGACCATGGGAGGCAAGAAGTTCAAGGTGAGAGGCCCCAGGTCAACCCCCACCTCCCTGTCCCTGGGCCTCTGGTTAATCTCCCCATCTCAAATGTGGCCACCCTGCCCACCAACCCGAGGTCACCCAACTAGTCTAGCACCCATCACCTAGTGCTCCAGTTACTAGGGATTCAGTCCCCTGGCTCTACTCACTAACAGCCCTGCTGGTGCTCTGGGTGACTCCTTGGGCTGCTAACCGAAATGTCAGCAGTTCAGCAAGACAGGCTTTCTACGAAAGATTTAGTCTTAGAAACCCACAGGAGCCAAGCTACTCTGTCCAATTAGGTCGCCCTGAGTTGGAATTGACTCATGGCAGTGAGGTTGTTTGTCTGTTTTCTGATTATCAAACAATAGCTAACATTTACCGAGCACTTAATACGTCTGGGGCCCACGTTTTAACACAGTTAATCTCCTGAGATTGAGATGACTGGGGTGGTGGTTGTTAGCTGCTATCAATTGTTGTCGACTGACTCGCAGTGGGAAGGTTCTGGGCCACCTTCATGACTCTCGGTGTGTGTGAGCCCCTTGTTGTGGGGATTAGGTCCCTCCATTTCAGTGAGGGGACCATTTATTTTCCCCGGTCCTCTACCAAATATGAGAGCCTTTTCAAGGCGCCCTGCTGGCACAGTGGCTTACTCGCTGGGCTGCTAACGAGGAGATCAGCTGTTCAAATCCATCAGCTGCTCCACAGGAGAAAAATGAGACTGCTTATTCCCAAGAAGAGTTACAGTCTCAGAAACCCTGCAGAGCACTTCCTGTCCTGAAGGGTCACCATGCATCGGAACCACCCAGTGGCAGTGGAGTGATTCTATTTGTCTTTCGGGCCACCAAACCAACCCACTGCCATTGACTCAATTCTGCATCACAGCCCCATACAGGGTCTGGAAGCAGTCTCATCTTCCCCTGGCAGCACAGTTGGTGAGTTTGAACCACCGACCTGTGGTTAGTAGCCCAATATAGAACTCACAGCTCCGCCAGAGATCCTTGTCCTTCTGGCTCAACTCCCTGCCATCGAGTTTATGCTGACTCAAAGTGACCCTACAGGAGAGGGTCCTATAGGGACCTGTGCGTTTCTGAGACTGTAACTGTTTCCCGGAGCAGAAAGCCCGTCGTCCCCTGAAGAGTGGCTCGTGGTTTCTAGTTGGTAACCTTGTGGATCGCGCAGCCCAGTTTGCAACCACAATATAGTTGTTCTTTTATTGAGCACCCATTCTGCACTCGCCCTTTCCTCGCTGCCCGGGTTTTGCAGGCACAGGCAGTGATGGCAGAATAAAACCACGGCCCACCCGCACTCTAGTGGTCATGCGAGTCCTGCTCCAAGTATACCGATGGGGCTACACAGCACAGCTTGTCCTCTGGGCACATGACTGTAGTGTCCTTCCCTTTCAGGCCACTGTGCAGATGGAGGGCGAGAAGGTAGTCGTGGACTTCCCCAACTATCACCAGACCTCAGAGATTGTGGGAGGCAAGCTGGTGGAGGTAAGTGTCCTGCTGGCTCCTGCATGGTCGAAGCCACCGGCATCCCACCCACCACCCCCCGCCCCCAACCCTGGGTGCCCCTTGCCAAGCTCTCCTCTCCCCCTTCCCCAATCCAGGTCCTCTCACCTCCTGCATCCACGCCTCCTCCCACATGCAAAACACTCATCACCTCCCATGGCTCCTCTAGGTACCTGCGTCCTCAGACCAGCGAAAATAGCCTGGCAGCCCCAGGCTGAGCGTGAGGGCCCTGGGCTCCTCTCCTCCAGACAGGCCTTCACGGGAGGAGCCCAGGAAACCAGGGTTCCTGCCCCTTCCCTGCGGACATCCTCTGCGGAGCGTCCCAGCCACATGCTCGTCCCCACCCACCTCCCTTCTTGGTCCATACAGTTGCCTCTGTTAGGAATTTCCTGTCCTCCTGTTTGCTTTCCCAAATCTACATAGTCTTCAGTCCAAATGCCAGACAGAGGGCTCCCCATAATTTCTCGGTTTATGCCCTCCTTCAGCCCACCCCATGCTCCTTCCTGTGGGAACTCTGCTTTCCTGCCCTGGGTATCAGACCCGCTGATGGTGTGGGCACATTCAGCGAGTGTCCCAATGGCACTGGCCCAGGGGCATGGCACCCTGTGACCCTTAATGAGCAGCATCTCCTTGCCGGCCCCTCCCCTCCACCCTCTGCATGGTCCATATGCTCCCATCACACTGTACCATGCAGTGGTTGAGCTTGGCCCCTAGAGCTTGGGACGGTGACCTGACTAAATGCCAGTTTCCTCATCTGTACGCTGAGGGCCCCTTCCTAGGGTTGTTGGGAGGATCGAAGGGGATAATTCTAGAGCAGCTCCTGCACAGGTGAGCTAAGTGGACAAATAGAAGGTTAGGTTACCGAGACCAGACACCTCTCACAACTGCGTGGAGTCCACAGAGTGACTCAGGGAACAAACTGGGAGACAGGCCAGCTTCTCAGAGCTGGGCTGGGGCTTGTCTTCCTTCAGCTGCGCCCCCTGGCTACTTGGGTCCGTCTAGTATTGGGTACTGACTCCCTCTCTTCTGGCTGCCTCTTTCAGATCTCCACCATCGGAGGCGTGACCTATGAGCGTGTGAGCAAGAGGCTGGCCTGAGCCGCGAGGTCGAGGCCTGCGGGGGGCCTAGAAGCCACTAATAAAGCTGACACAAGAAGAGACCCTCTGCTCTCCGTAGTCCCTTCGTTTGTGGTGTCTCGTGTCTGGGGCAGTTTCTGGTGGGTGGGAGTGCGACAGTCTGGGAGGACGGTCACTTGGCTACACGTTGGACCTGAGTGCCCTGTGGCATCCGGGTCATGGTAGAGGGAAGCAGGATCATGGACTGAGACAGCCCTCGAGAAGCAGGTGGGCACTCGTTACCCCACCCTGCCACCTATTGCTTGCTGGGCCTGTGGTCACTCAGCCTCAGTTCTTGGGTGAGGGCTCCTCTAGAGAGACATGCCACCTGGGAGGGGTAACATGCTGACACTCAGATGGCTCACAGAGCAGGCAGGTTGGGACTTGAGGTGAGGACAGTAGTGGCACTGATTTCTGGACTCCAGGCTGGGCACAGGCACTTGGACAGATGCCCCGGGGTGAGCCGGGGGAAGGTGACAGTTTGGCTGTGGATCTGCTATCAATGGGTTGTGGGAATTTATGAAAGACCCAGCTTACTCACTGGGAGAGATGGGACTGGGGTGGGGCGAGGGCAGTGAAGGCCCAAGGAGGGCTGACCATCTCTGAGATAGAGGTGATAGGAAGGGTCTACATCTCTGCTTTCAATTATGCTGGGTGGAATTCTAGGAGTGGAATTCCTTGATTTGCATGTTATTTTAAATTATTTCCTCTTCATAAAGCTATTTAAAAGACCCCAAACATTGCCATCCAGTCAATTCTGACTCATAGGACAGGGTAGACCTCATAGGTCAGGGTAGAACTACCCTTGTGGGTTTCTGAGATTGTAAATCTTTAACCAAGTTGAAAGCCTCCCTTTCTCCTGCTGAGCAGCTAGTGTTTTTGAATGGCTGAGCTCAAGGTTAGTAGTGCAACAGTAATCAGGGCACCAGCAGGGCACCTGGTCACAACTCTATAAGGTAGGTGCAGTTTTCCCCGTTTTAAGGTGAGGAAGTTGGGGCACAGAGAGGTTAAGGGTGCCCTGGTCTGGATGGAGGCCTAGGAGAAACTCCATGAGGCCGTGGTGAGCTGGGAAAGGTGGTGGGACTACACCGTTGGCAGGGGTCTGGGACATGGGTTGAGAAGGATTCTGATGTGGTATTTGGGTCTGCTGGATAGCCTGTGACTGATGAGTAGGTCTTCCCCGGCTGTAGGAGGATGTAGGGTGGCCTGCTAGCTGTCCCTGGCTCGATCATTCCGAATGCAGAGCACTGAACAGGCTTTTTCTCCTCCGCCTCTTCCAGTGGCCACTTAGCCACATCTGTGTACCACCAACATGACTTCTTTTTGCCCAATATTAAACATTTTTTTTCTGAATGCCAATTCACTTGTTTTTGCTACAGTGGAGACTTACCATCACTTCTGCACATGGAAAGTCAGTATCACTTGATATAAAGAGGTGGTTTTAAAAAATCAAATGGAAACAATGCTGGTTTCTAGCCAGGTTCTGTTGCCGGGCTGAGGTCCTGATCTGAGGGCTCCCTGCCTTGTGAAAAGGGAGAGGGAGATGCAAAGACATGGTAGTGCCCAACGAGAGCGTCCTCCCGGACTAATAAAAAAGCAACGACACGCACCTGAAAAGGAAGCCCAGACCCAGCAGGAGAGCTGACTGACCTCGAGACACCGAGTGCTTCTGTGATTGATCCCTGCTTCCTCAGACGTGCAAGTGCCCCGTCGTGGCCATGAGACCCGAGGCCTTCACAGAGCCCTGCCCAGCGCCTGGCACACAGCAGGCACAAGTCAGTGCAACCTCACCCAAGGTCTTTCCAACGGTGTCCCTTGTGGACCCTCATGCTCGTGGCCAGCTTTAGCCTGGACGGATGGAATCGTGCAGCTCATGGGCCAGGCTCTCCCCTGAAACTGTGTTTATTTTTCAAAGAACAGCATTCAGCCCCTCCCTACTGACCCTTCCTTCAAGCCAGGACCCCATGAATTTCACCCTTTTGGCCAAAATGGATTGCTAATGAAGTGAACCAGGTAAGCATCAAATTAAACTAGCAGTGCTGCTGCTTCCTCTCCAGACTGAGTAATGACTCATAATGAGCTGGGGTCATCAGCATCTAAATAACAGAGAGGTAGCCACAATTAGGCTGAAAATGGAGATAGGAAGGGAGACAAGAGAAGGGGAGTGAATGAGAAAGAGAGATGGCTGTTAATTCCTGGGCTGGACCTAAGTGGGCAGTGTAGTACATTTTAAGCCATTATTGTTCTTCAGAGACTCAAGGAATTTTAGGACTTCTGAGTTTGGTAGTTTAAAGCCTGCCTTGGACAGTCTTGGAAACCAAAGTTTAGCGAGGGCAAGGACCTTACATCAGGTCACACAACACAGAGTGAATCTCATAGATGTATTTGAGGGGTGGGCAGAAGGTCAGCAGTCTGCAACCACCTCCCCTTTCTGCTCCCGTCACTGAGGAAGCTGTCACGACTTCTTGCTCCACAGACTGAAATTCTAGTGCTTTTGCTCCAGGTTCTACATGATTTTGGCATTTTGAACCTTGAGAGTTATCTCTGCTGGGGACCTCTTCCTTTAAGCCACATTTACCTAGTGGAGGATGTGGTCCCCAAAGTATCTTTAATGACTACCACTAGGTGGTGCTCCGCCACCCCAGCCTGCTGCCCCACAGGCACCAAGTGGGCAGTGAAAGTGTGGTTGGGCCTTGGGTGGGAATGTTTGTGTCATCTCATGGTGACATGGTATGGGCAGTCACATGGGCTCCTCAGTCAGGCGTATCTCAGTGGGAACCCAGTCCCACCACCTACCTATGATGGCCCTTGGGGCCTCCCTGAGTGTCAGCGTCCGGAATAGGAAAGTGAGGACCACACCACTAATCACACTAATAACTGAGGGAAAATGGAAAGTAAGAGGGTAAGGAGATCTGGGTAAGGTGTTAAACCAAGGGCCCAGGACATCGACGGGAGCTATTAATGCTAAGCCCCTTCTTAGTGGTTCACCCGAGAAGAGGCACCCACAGTCCCAGTGTCTGGACCGCAGGGAGAAGGGGCAGACCTGATTGTTGCAAGGAGCATCCTTTAAGGAGCCTGCTGAAGGGACAGATGCCCAGGCGGCCCTCCGCGCTGCTGAACAGTATTTGGGAGATGTCCTGGTGACATGTCCCTTGTGACGTGATTTCAGAGACCCTTCCAGTCCCAACCCTCCCATGATCCAGATAAAAAAACTGAGATGGAAAGAAGCTCCGTGATCCATCCAATCCTATGCCGAGAGGGAGCAGCAGACGGCCTGGGTCCTGTATAACCTGCCTGGGTGTCTGCTGCAGCCCAGGCCGACAGTCCTGGTCACAGCTGGCCCAGCAGCAGCCTGAGCACTTGAGCAGATCTTCCTTTATAGCCACGTTTCTCAACCTGTGGGTCGCAACCCCATTGGGGGGCCGAACAACACTCTCACAGGGGTCGCCCGATTCATAAGTCACAATAATTTCATGGTTGGGGGTCACCACAACATGAGGAACTGTATTAAAAGGTCATGGCATTAAGAAGGTTGAGAACCACTGCTTTAAAGCCAGAGCTGAACCAGAGGGAGGAGAACTGAGGCTTGCTTGAGCCCCCACAGGTGGGAGAGGCTCACTTATTTAGAGTGCAGAGCTCGCTGACAAATAAGGATGCCATATATCCCCAATGGTCTCACCACACACCTGAAGTAGACATCGGGCTGATGGTCTTCTTGCATTGCAAATCAAGGCAGGTCCAGAGATACTCTTTCTCTCACTGACATGGACTCGATGCTGATTCAGCAACCCTACAGGACTGAGTAGAACTGAGACGAACCCTTTACAGGGGCAGAGGAGGAGAAAGCCTCATCTTCCTCCCAAGGAGCAGCCGGTGGGTTCGAACTGCTGACCTTGCAGTTGACAGAGGGGGTGAGTTAGCATACTATTCATCAAAATAGTAGAAATATAACCTAATGTAAGATATAATTTGCTAAAAGTCTAAACTGTACTAACCCCCTCCCCCACTTTGCAGTTAAAATTTTATCCTAAGCTTAATCAGTAAGGATGGTTTAACTCAGAAAGGAGGCTAGCAAGAACATTTAGTAGCCAGAGAGGATTCACTCCCCATTCAGTAGCCTCAGGAGTTGTGGTCTCTTAAGGCCAGGCAGGAAGCACCGCCCTGGTTTAGGTGACCAAAGGCACCTGAAGCTGCAGGGGACGGTGGTCTAATGGTCACTGCAGATGATTTCCTAACCAGCACTGCCAACCCTGCCACTGAACCCGTGACATTGTAAAGACCTGCTGAATCTCTTCCTGGGACATTGCAAGCACTTGCTTCTGTCCCATAATTTGAGGTTTATTACTTCCTTGACTTTCCCTGGATCTTTGAAGCCGTTTGGAGGTAGCAAGCCCCGGTATCAGGTGTTTCAGAGTAAACCTAGGAGTGTCTCAACTCAGCCTGGTGCGTGGCTCTGAGTGAAACAGTAGCGGGCGCTCGCGGACAGTTTCCAGGCATCACAGTTCGCAGCTCAGTGAAGAACACACCACCGGGGCTCTAGAGGCAGAGATGTGGCTTTTCTCGCGGTCACCCAGCTAAGAGCAGAAATGCCAGCCTTTCCACCTCTCGGGCCCAAGGCCTTCATGTGTGTACTTTGGAAAACCCAAACTCGCTGCCATCGGGCGGGTCTGACTCTCAGCGACCCCACAGACCGTTCCAACACTGAATCTGCAGGGGAGCAGCAGCCTCATCTCTCTTCCTTGGAGTGGCTGAGAGATTGGACGGCAAATGTCCAGCCCAAGAACCACTCACTTTGGCCTCTATCTATATTCCTCCCCAAACAAAAGCAAATCAACTTCCTGCCACTGAGCCGATGCCGACTCACAGCGACACTGCAGGTCAGAGTAGAGCTGCTCCTGTGAGTTTCCGAGACTAGAACTCTTTAAGGAAGTAGGCCCATCTTCCTCCGGAGGAGCGGCTGGTCGTTTCGAACTGCTGACCTT